TACTCCACATGCAGTCCTGGATGATGATGGAGCTCAGGTTGCCGAACAGTTTCTCAGAGTCTGGGATGAACTGACCCTCATAGTCCTCGTCCTGACCTAGAACCTTGGTCAGCCAGCTGAGCTTGTCCCCCGGGGAGAGATGCGCAGCAGTGGCGCTCAGAGTCCTGGTGGGAGACATGGGAGGGGTGGGCAGCAGTTCGAACTTTTTCCATATGTCCTCACTGGGGGCTGTGGACTTGTAGAAATCTTCCTCGGTGTCGAAATCGTCCATGAAATAATGCTGATAACAATCAAACTCCATGGTCCCAGTCAATTGAAAATAATATCCTGGTGGAACTTTACTCCCAGACTGAATCAGACGGTGTGAGGAACGTCCTGGGGGCAACGCTGAGGTGTTAACAGCAGAGACCATTCATGCCACAGCATGCAGGAATTCAAGCTTTTGTCACTGGGTTTCACTATCGCTCTAATTCAGGGGATGAGAACGGGGGTTCTCTCGGCGTGTAGCTGTGATCAATCACCGGGACGCGGCCACCCCGCCCCTCTACCGCACCGTGATTGTGATGCAGAACCAGTGGAAGACGGAGTGAAAGGGGGGAAATTCAAGCTAAAGTATTGGGGGCGTGCATGTGTGCACAGAGAGAGCATGTGGTGCATTGTGGGGGGGTGGGGGGAGGTGGGGGGAGAGAGAAAGAGAGAAAAGCCATAGTGTGCGATAACAGCGCTGCACCAGTTATGAAACTGCAGCCCGGCGTCTCCCAATTATGCATTGTTAGAGGGCAAAAGAAACCCGCGGCAGGGGCAGGGTGGGGCAATCTACAGCATGACTGGCGTCCTTACCAGAGGAATCAGAGCGGGACTCGGAGCCAGACGACGCCGACTTTCTGCAGCTGCTCGACGGGATGGTGAGAACAGCCGCCGGGTCGACGCAGTCTGCGACTGACGCGGAAATCTGTGCACAGGGTGAGACGCAGTGCGCCTTGCCGGGTCTCACTGAGATCTGGGTCACCGGAGCCGCAGCTGCCACTCTGCCGCTGACCTTTTCCAGCTGCTTACTGGCGGAGAAACTACTCCACATGCAGTCCTGGATGATGATGGAGCTCAGGTTGCCGAACAGTTTCTCAGAGTCTGGGATGAACTGACCCTCATAGTCCTCGTCCTGACCTAGAACCTTGGTCAGCCAGCTGAGCTTGTCCCCCGGGGAGAGATGCGCAGCAGTGGCGCTCAGAGTCCTGGTGGGAGACATGGGAGGGGTGGGCAGCAGTTCGAACTTTTTCCATATGTCCTCACTGGGGGCTGTGGACTTGTAGAAATCTTCCTCGGTGTCGAAATCGTCCATGAAATAATGCTGATAACAATCAAACTCCATGGTCCCAGTCAATTGAAAATAATATCCTGGTGGAACTTTACTCCCAGACTGAATCAGACGGTGTGAGGAACGTCCTGTACAACCTGAGGGGGTGAGGGGGGGGGGACACACGGGTTAGTCAGAGTCTTTATTTCAGTAGCTCCCAGCAGATGTGTGATCACATTTCCCGGATCCATCAAGGGCTATTAGGAGAGCACATCCTCCAACAGCCCGCTTTCTACAAATGGCACCACATTAATTATTGATCGTCTCTTTCGGCTTCTCTTTATGGAAGCAGTAACAGTAACATATGGTCATATCATACCGTCTATCCTGCCGTAGCTATGAAAGACGAGCAATGTTTTGTTTTTTGTTTTAAAAAAAAACTGAACTAAGAAATGAAACACAGTGTTTTACGGTAGAAATCAACAAATCAGACTGCGCTTCCTGAAACAGCGCTTGCGCTTTGTTCTGGCGCACAGACGTGAAAGCGGTAAATACCGAGCAAAAAGTGTTGGGAGTTCAACTGAGGGGCTTTTCACTCCGTCGTATCTTTCACACAACATTCACACGAACGCAGCTACTCACCGGTGTTTACGGTTTAATCTCCCCCCGCCCCAAAAAAGAGAGAGACGTTCGAGAGGAAACGAACGCCAAAGTCCTTTAAGACTCCTGGAGGCGGTTAGTCCAGCAGTGAATACCGAGTACGATACGGACGATGTTACGCAACTTTTCGGTGTTTTGAAGTGTAGCGGAGCTGAGAGTGAAGACTAAAAAACGCCGGGTCTCTCTCTCTCCACACTGCGGGTTCCACCCACGCCGTGTTACAGAATACCACGCTGTGTGTTTTTCGCGCCAGTGAGATGTGGTGTTATAAGAACGCAGGGCGGAGCCTGCCGCAAGATCTGCAGCGGTAGATCCGGGTAAGACATCCTTCATTTGAACCGCCCCCTTTTACAACCGTCTAATGCAGTGGTTCCGCTGGTGGATGGCGCGCCCTCTAGCGTTGTTACAGGGAAGTGCGCAGCAACTGGTAAATTCATCCCACGCTGGAGGAACCGCACTGCTTGACTTACGTTTTTTTTTCTTGTTCATTGAGAATAGCAGTGTTTCTTAGGGATTTGTGTTTAAAATAAAAAATAATAATAAAAGTGGAGTTTTAAAGCCAAATTTGTTAGTGTCAAAATTTTGAATATGCTTTTTTACAGGTAGTTTATAGTAGTTTATATTATTTATTTTTTATACTGTATATATTTATATTTTTATGATTCGATTATAAATGGAACAAATATCGTTATCACGTGTTTTTTTTTCTAACCACTTCTGGTACGATAAAAAGTATCAGGTATATGAAGTATAGGAAACTAAAAAAAACTAAAAACGGCAGTTATGGACCGGTGAGAACGGAATAAGGCGTAAATGCACCGGTGTTCGGTTGCTGGTACTCATGTTTCTGTACCAGTTACTAAAGACTTGAGACGCATTCAGAGGTTTTGCTAATTCAGAAAACCACCACAGATTACGTTACATCGAACTAACTCATATAAATCACTGCCGTCCATAAAATGCCAGGTATCACTGCCGAAACCCGGGATTGAACCAGGGACCTTCAGATCTTCAGTCTGACGCTCTCCCAACTGAGCTATTTCGGCCACGTGTACTGTCACGTAATCGTTGGATGGGTTTAGTACAAAGATCAACTGGTTGATGATTGACGTTGCCCAGAAAGAACAAAAAAACCCAGCATTGTCTAAATATTTACTCTCTGCAAAATTAGTGTAATTGTTCTTCAGGCCACATGGGGTGGTACCTCTGACCTGTTGTTTTGAAACATTGACAGATTATCTTTGATATGACTGAATTATTTTGGAACAAATTAAATTAGGTAAAACTGAAGGACATTTTTCACGGTGTCCCACTGTGGCCTAGTACCAAATGACCAACGGACAGGCACCGGTCCCTGCACCGGGGGTTGGGGACCGTTGAGCTATACGATCTCTCTTCAGTGATTTGAATTTGAAACACAGACGATGAGAGTCATTTCCATATTCAGCCTCTCCAAACGACAGTACATACAGTGGCTGAACAACAGGCTGCAGACTGTGGAGTGAACGACTCGCATTCAACAGAGATTGACTCCACAGGTGGCGCTGCAGCGACTAATCTTCTCTCGGTGCAGTTTCAGTGACAACCAGCACTAATGTGTTTGTTCCTACAGTCTTGTTTAGAGGCCACAGCGACGACAGATCTGCCACTGAGGGAGAACGACCACCCCCGTCCACCCCCGTCCACCCCTGTCCACTCAGAGTGACACGAACCAGGACCCAACAGTCTGGACGCTGCAGACATTAGATTTATATAGCTGTGTAATGTCCCGCTTCAACAAATTCTTTATGTACACTGGGGAGCAGGAGGGCAGAGTTCACCGACGTCTCATGACGAGACAACGCCAGGTCACACTAATAAAACCGCCCTGACCTTAATCATGACGAGACAACGCCAGGTCACACTCATAAAACCGCCCTGACCTTAACCTCCTCCTCCTCCTCCTCCTCCGGCTGGTCACACATTGATCAGCTTCGGCCTGCACCCTAATTAATCGTCTTGGTGGATGAAGACAAAGACCGGCGGCCTATCAGCTCATATTTAGGCCACGTCAATGACACCGCTTGGTGAGAGGCATCTGTTGTCAGCGCCTGGCCTGAGGTCAAACACACGCTCCTGATGGACCGACGCGTCCTTCATCTCTGCTATGTGGATAATGTAATTAAAGGGTCAGAGTTGTCTTTTAATTCATTTTAAACTGTTCTATTCACCACTGAATCCTTGGTCAAATGACTCCACGACGACACACACGACATCACATAATTTCACGACTGTAAAAGTCAATGGGTGTTTTAAAAAAAACTGTGTTTAATTGAACGGGAACAAAAGGAAATAAGACAAAAGTATAATCTTTGTTTCTCGTTGACAAACTTTGATTGCGTTATTTAAACTAACATATTTGATACCTGCAACGTCAACACCAAAAAGTGTGGGTGAAGGCAGAGGACAATGGATTTGGATTTGGGTCAACTAATTAGCGGGCTAACTGCTAAGATGTTTGGATGTTAAGAGTGGGTTTAAAAAGAGCATTAGCAAGACAAACTTACAGAAACGACTTAATCACTTTGTTGCTAGGATGTGCTTCAAGATCAAATTCTAAAATAATAATATTAACAACAATAATAATAATAATAATAAATGTTCTATTGGCATCCAGTAATGGGCCAGATGTGGGGGTTTTTGTGGGCTGAAAGTGGCCCACAGGTCAGGAGTTTGTCATCCCTGACTCAGACAAAAATGTCACAAAAAGTAAATGTAATAAAAAATATGAAGATTTCAGCTTTTCAAATTTGCCGCCACCTAGTGGTAGAGTACTTAATATTCTGCCAACTCACTATTGAGTAGAGGAACAAAAAATAAATAAATAATTTGCAGTAAATAAATTATTAAGTTTTCAAACCAATGAAATTAATCTTATGACACACAAATGTGCCGCAGCTCAGTGGTTGAGACTCACTGGCTCAGAGAATACATTGTGTGATATATTTTTTTTAAAAATCCTTTTTTTTATGTAATATTGTTTGGTTACGTCTCAAGACATCATCATAAATACTAACAATGAAACATGTTGTTAATTGTAATAAAAAATGTAAACTGAGACGTGAAGCCTCACAGATGGGATTTTTACTGCATACATTTAAATGTTACAATCCAGAGCCAACCTTCAATCTGCTTCATTGGTCATATTTTATCTCAGCCAATGGGGAAAAAAAGAAAGAAAACTAAACCCATAAAATTCAAATGAGACCCCCCAGCCCCTCCCCTCCCTTCTCCTGTCTCTTCTGTTTCTTTATTAAAACTTGGAACATTTGCTGAGGCAACAATGCTTAACACCAACAATACCCCGTTCTCCCAGTCATCTCCCAACTTAACTTCAAGTGGCCGCCTTTGTCCTTTTATTGTCCCAGGAGCATATGTGTGGATGGTAAAGAAGGCGGGGCAGAAACAATTGGGGGCTGGGGCCGGGATTCCCCCCGGTGGGGTCCTCATGCTCTTCTACAACAACCTCTCAGCTGCCTGAAGACCACCGGACACAATGGCTGTAGCGGTATTTGAGTGTTTGAGTGTTTTTATGGTGGGGGGGGCTAATGTCTGTAGCATGTCTTCAACAAGGGGGTGTTCTCCCTTTCCCCACGACCTTGATGACACAGGGCACCCCTCCCATACTGACCTGTGACCTTCTTCTGGTATCTCATAAAAAATACTTAAAATGGGAGCAGTGGACTGGCATGAGGAGAGAAACCTCCCACATGAGCAACGTGAATAATTCACACAAGTGTGATTGCCCCCCAGGGACGTAGGGCACATTGTGACGACCTATAAAAAACATAAGGAGCGTATGATCGGCAGGGACGGACGTTTACCTGTGTGCAGTTTTCACTTACCAAAGATCTGTACCTGTCCAAACACACGTAGCGTTAGCTCCAGACTGCTGCTGTCACCGCCGCCTTCACTTCCTCCTCGGTGATGTGCTGTCACTGCGGCTTTCAGACGTGGATGTAACCAAAGTTCATGATATGAGGTTTGAATGAACATAGATTCCTGTTCTAGTTCAGTATTTCACAACCTGTTCTCTGCCTGTTTCCCTCCTAGCGTTAGCGCTACGGCTAGGTTGTTGTTGAAAAGTGATTATGGATGGATCGGAATTGAAAAGTAAATATAATAATCATTGCAGCTCAGGTTAAACGTCTTAAATCCTGGATATCTTGTTAAAGATAAACATTTTTATATACACTAAACACACTATCAATTAAACTGGAAAGCAAAATTTGAAAAATAACAGAATTTTGACCCAGAATTCAAAGCTATTTGTACTATAATATTTTTCTAGACGTCTCATATCGTCTCAAAAATAAATAAACAAATAAAGGATCGGTTGACTCACTATTATTGTATAACCTCAGTTAAACCAAGTGAAACTACCGCCTTCGGTTTGTAGACTAAGCTATCCTGCCACCTGGTGTTCGTTGGCATAAACTGACTGATTTGTTGCTGCGAAAAAGTCTGTAATACATTTAAAACAGATTCTAACGAACAATAATTGTTAAACATTATTACTTCTAGTAAACTTATTTAAAAAATATTGTTGTACGAATTATTATTATCTCTTTAACAACTGTAGACCGACTCGAATCTTATCATCAGTCTGAAAAACATCATGAATACATTGATTGATGATATACGTTATGTCCACTAGATGGCAGCAACCAATTAAAATTAAATGAAAAATGTCCCCTTTAGTCCCCTTTTTCTTTTCGTTTTTATCATTATTTAGTGTTTTTATTGTTTTCCTTTCGTCGTTATCTTCTTTCTTTACATTTTCTTCTCTTTTTTCGTTATTTTATCAAACAAATGACTCTACCCCTAATCGTCTGGCAAAACACAATGAATAGATAACAAAAAAAACAAGTAAAATATTTTACTAATCCTTATTAAACACAACCTACATCAAGCAGTGTAATTATATATTAGCGTCTACTTCCGGATTTCTTTTCGGATTTTTGGAACAAACAAAAAGATTAAAATGCTTTAGGTTATTTCAGTCATGAGACCAACTCCGACTGAGTGGTCTTTGTTTCCCCGTGGCCGGGTCAGCGTGCAGGCAGAGGAACTGAACAGTGACATAACTAGTCAGCTTCAACAAACAGCCTCGGGACTTTATCTGTTTGCATGTCACATTTTTATACAGATATTGTAATGGCGGGTTACTGTATAAAGGGGGCGTGGGGGTGATATCTAAAAAGAGAGAAGAAGAAGAAAAACGTTGTCTCGCAGTATCCTGCTGGTTGTGTCCTTATTAGATATATTAGTATAGAGGAACAATACAATATATCAGATATTTTTAACTTGTTTGACTCGTGTTTATTTCCAGTTTGACTCAACAACAAGAAAAATGAAGTGGCTCAAAAACTGAACAAACTATTTTGGTTCCTTGCACTTTACAAGGGCTTACATTTTTGTTGGTCGTGTTAAACCCGCAGACGGAGGAACTGAGAGCACGGGACCGAAGGCTTAGAAAGAAATTCAACTAACTGAAGTCACATCCAGTGTTTGGTTAAGTTTAGTTAAAAAATGTGTTATTTAATTAAAGAAGTTAATAATTGACCACCTCAATATACTGTCTTTTGGACATCATGGTCCGGTAATACCATGTCATCACATTTTCAAAATAAAACCTCTTTCAGACTTTCTTCTGTTAGCATCAGAGACTGAATGGTCTTTGACCTGTTGTTTTGAAACATTGACAGATTATCTTTGAATGAAAAAAGTAAAGGGACATGACTGGATGCTTTTGGAACGAAGTCGATTAGTAAAACTGAGGTACATTTTTGTCCCACTGCAGCCCAGCAGCAAACAGAACGCCACAGGTCCCTGCACCAGGGGTTTGAGACCCCTGACTTACGACATTAATCACAACAACGAAGAAATAATTTCACTGTCTGACGGCTGACTTTATACTTTGTTTTTTTTCTGGACAAAAGTAGGACAGCAGGTTAGGGCGATAAAGAACACAGAGTGATGTATTAGTAGGAAGTAGGAACTGTATGTTGACAAGGTAAGCAAGTGCGCACACTCATTTGATCACATGATAACACACTAACTGTTGATTCCAAGGATGATGACGATATTTTCTCTTATACGGTTAGATTTTTACAAACTGTTGAAAAATATGGAAGCCAAGAATGAAGGAAGTAACGCGACTTAACAAACTTGTACAAACGTTTGAAATGGTTGGACAGCTTTATGAACAGTACCTAATGTAGATGGGTATCTGTCTATGGATGTATCTGTTGACTTGACCTGACTTGGTTTCTGTCCTGTCTGATATTTGGTCCAGTTTCAACACTTCTAAATCCGATTTACTCACTATAGGTGTGTATGGGGTTTATATAACGTAAGTTATATATGGGATTCCTGGCCTGGTCGAAATGTACGAATACAACTAATGAGTTAAATAACAAATTTGCAATGAAATAAGTTGCGTCTTTGCCAGAGTTCTGCTGTCCTAAGTTGCAACTTATTTAAATTTTATTATTTTGTTGCCCCTTCTGTTTATTAATAATAACGCCTGGAATTACTGTTAATTGTTGTGTACTTTTGTATTATTATTATTATTTTATTTGAGAGTTTGTATTTAAAATTTTTCAATAAAAAAAAAATAAAGGATTGCGTCTGTCTCTTTATCTCGCTGCCAACGGAGCATTTATTTCCTGTTGCAGTGGAAACGGGTGATGGAACAGGCGATTGTCACGTGACAGTGACAGTTGCGTGACGTCACGGCATCATAGTGAAATGAGTGAATGTGTTGTGTGTGTGTTCACTGCCGCCGCGACGATTACGGTTTGTAGATAAGAACGTTTTTTCTTCTTCTTTTGTTTATTGAAGTCGCGTCTTCAACTGCTGCTGTAGGAGGAAAACCGTAGTTCACTCACGACAAAAAAAAACGAACGGAGTAACCGACTTAACACGCACGTTAGTTTGAGTAAGTACCAGAATTACTTTACTGCTGGTAAAAACTCGAGCAGGTCTGAAGATATTTAAACTAAGACACAAGGAAAAATAAATCAACTTCATAACGAGGCAGAGTTTGAATAAAAGAAAACATGATTCGAAATCGATAATAAAAATGTAATGTTTTGTTTTTACATAAACAAGGTTATAATCAGATCAAATGAGATTTAAAATCGGAACTTAGTGTAAAATTAACACGAAGTATATTTAGATGTGTTACGAGAGTGATGTTTAGTGTAAACAGTGGTCCGATATGTTATAGAATTGAATTCATATTTAATAAACATAACCGCCAGAAAGCTGAAAGCATAAATATGTATATAAAGTACACTCTTACTGCTGCAAAATGGGAGATTTATTTTCCCTTTCTATCACCCGAGAGAACAAAAAAGAAAGGATACAAAGGATACAAAGGCAGATATAAGACACTTTAAAACGAACCTTGGCTTTTGTCTCTAAAAGCAACTGCTGTAGAAAAAAGACTACGAAGCGAGAAGAGTAAAAGAAAAATCAACATTTTTACGTTATTTACCTTAACGTTACACGCGCTGGAAGAGTTCACGCGGATACGTGAACGCGCAAGGAAAACCCGTAATGATAGGAGGAGACCGGCAGAACACGAGGGAGACGACCGCGGACCACTCAGTCACACAGAGCCCGGACGAACAGCATGTCAGTGTGAGTCGGCTCCTTCCTTCCTGGTTCCGAAACCGTTACCCACCGCCCGAACCGAGAAGACAATTTTATTTATTTATTTTATTTATTTATTTCAATTTTATTTATTTATTTGTCTTATTTTGGAAAGAATGGCCCGAGGAGAAGGTTCGGAGGCGAGCGCGGCGGGTTTACTCTCATCTCCCGATGAAGGACCCATCGGAGACGTTAAGGTGAGTACCGGGGGACCAGTCGGTATATTAATTCGGTTGTTTTTGATTTTGTTTTTGTTTTGTTCAACTAAAAGAATTGTACGGTAGAGAAAACGAGCCGTTAAAAAAGGCGGTTTTGTGGTACCGCTGACTTCCTCTCCGCAGTAGTATTTGAAATATCATGTTCGGTCTCATACCGGCTTTTAAACGAGACACACCGAAGCTACACCCACGATACATGTGCGAATCATTTTTATGCATAAAGTCCTGGGGGGAAAAACACAGCTCAATAAAACAAATGGAGATATGGGTAAATGGCCGACGGTCTCGTAACTGTAGTCTGATAATGGAACATCTGTCCAACACGAAATTAATTATTACATTGATTAGTCGGTGAATCGGCAAGTAAACCATATGTTTCTATTCGTCTGTTAATGTAAATGTTTCCAGTGATTTCTTCTTCGTTTCTTTTAAACGTCTAGTCATTTCAGCATCCTCCATCAGAATAACGTACTACGGTACTTTAGGGCTGATTCCTATTTTATCTGTACTCAGTTGAATTTAACATTTTGTGAATTAAGCGAATTACTAGAAGAAGAAACAGTGTGATCTTGGAAATACTGTGTCATGTGCCGTGTCCATTAAAAATACACGTGTGACCGTTTGCATCCAAACTTTACAACCAGGGGTCGCAGTGTGATTATCATCGGTGCCCCTCCCTGGTCATGAAGACTGTTACAATAAAACGCTGTTAGAATGAATCGGTAATGTTGTTAAAAAACAAACAAATTATGATTCGTGTTCAGCTCAACAAAACAAACAAAAAAACCGATTTAACGACTAACTTCCGAGCGTCTTAGAAAAGGCAGGTGCCGCTCCGTGAAGTGATGCTGATCCCGTGTGGCATGGAAACCTTCACTCCATCCCTGCCTTTACCTGCAGCTGATTGGCTGAGGCTGCTGACTGTTGACGACTCCTCGTGGAAGTCATTCCACGTCATTCCACCTCCAACATCCCACTGCAGCAGCCAATGACTGCACAGGAGTCCTAGTGATGCAGCGTGAATGTGTGAACTACAGTGACCTGTCGGTTCACAGAAGCGTCTGGCTGCTTTCCACAAGATTTACGATAATCTGCATCTAATCTTACACTAATGAGAGGCGTTAGCCAATCACCGGAGCTCACAATGGCAGTTCTGTTTAATGCAAAAACGCTTTTACTTTCAGAATGAAAATGAGAAACAGATGTTGGTTCTGATCCCGTGATATTATATAGGCCTGGTAATATTTATTTTTCTGTACTAACCACTGTACTGTTGCTGGTACCAGCATTCTGTATACAATCCCCCATGATTAATTAAATGAACTGCAATGCTGCCATCTAGTGACTTTCACTTTAATATACAACAGTGTATCTGCAAAACTATTTTTAGGGCACACACAATTTGGTGAAACCCAGGCATTGCAATATCAGGTTGTCATTATCAGAGGAAATACCCATTAACGATTCTTACAGATTTAACATAATTATGCCGATATTATTGGTCGGCCGATCCCTACTTTTTACAGTTTCGACTGTCCTTTCAAAATTCTCTTCTTTCATTTCAGCAAAAGAACCAAAGAACCAGTCTGACTGTCTGCAACAAAATATGCTACGCTATTGGTGGTACTCCTTACCAGATCACCGGCAGTGCTCTGGGGTTCTTCCTCCAGCTCTACCTGCTGGATGTGGCTCAGGTGTTTGACACATTTCACACGCACACACACACAAAATAAAATGTCACCTCCTTCCTGTTGTGAAACAAACAGCCTTTAAAAGTCCAGGAACTGTTTACTGAGGCTAACCTTTACTAACATTTATTTATCCAGTTGTTTCACAGAAGTCATGTGACAAAACCTATTTGTTTAGCTTTGCATAACTACACAATACTCTGTTTTTACTGTGTTCCTTTAATAGAATATTTGAATTTGCAGCTCGGGGTGTGTACTGGCAAGATTTTGATGTCACCACATGTATCACGATACAGGGGCAACGATACGATATATTGCGACACTGTAGACACAACGATATAGTAGACGATATAGAGGTTTCTTTTAAGCAATTTAATTGTATTCAGAGTGTCATCATAGTCAAAACTCTGCTGCTGTTCCACCTTAACGTCAGGTTATTAACATTGGAACAGAGGGATTGTCCCCAAAACAACATGCCCTCTGTGGGGTTCGAACGCACGACCTTCAGATTATGAGGTTAACACACTGTCCACTGCACCAACGAGGCTTAATTCAAACATATAGTTTGTTTAAAAAGTGTGGTTTTCACTGTGTTTCACTCTCAGCTTTTTCATTTCATTTCCAGTTGGATCCATTCTACGCTTCGATCATACTGTTCGTGGGCCGGGCCTGGGACGCTGTTACTGACCCCACGGTGGGTTTTATGGTCAGCCGGAGTAAATGGACCAGCATTGGCCGCATGATGCCCTGGTGAGTGTCTCTATCCAATCAGAATGAACTAAATCAGAGATGGTTCTAAAGCGGAGACGCATCAATCGACCGCGCCGTGACCAGAATTGGACTTTTTTCTGCACGTTAGACCCTGAGTGCTGACCGCTGGGTCAGCGCACGTTTTCTTTTTCTTTTTTCATTCTCGCAGTTGATCATTTTGTGCATGTGTTCAGAACGGGGGAGGAGGCTCACCCTCACAGCTGAAGCTAACATGTCAGTTGCTGCGTCAGTTGTTTGCTCGAGGGTTAACAAACACATTCAGTTGTAGACAAAACCAGGTGTCGACTGCTCACGTAAATACGCTGGTCAAGCCTTTAACTCTACATTTGTTTTGTACAAGAGACAAACAAAAAACAAACCAGAAAGGGAGTTAAATAATAAATAATAATTATTAAATAATATTTAAGTCATTTGCTCACAGCAAAGCTTCTTGCAGACACATCACAGCTGAGTTACAGCGTCTCTAAGACGAACTCTAAGACGTTCTATTTTGCCTTGCAAAATATGTGACATCACTATGCCTAAAGCATCATGGGTATTCTGAGTTGGAAATGCCAGCTGTGCATGAGAGCTGCACAGTGTGGACTAAAGGAGGAAGAGGGAGAGTTCCCGGCTGTGCTGTGATTGGTCCAATCCACAACACACCATGATTCCAGCCAATAGGGGTCAGTCTTTCTCTGACTGTGGATATATTAAATTTCCCTGGTCATTTCTGATAAGGAGGACGAAGAGGGATATAGTACAAGCAGGGAGAGGTTAACTCCAGTCACAGACCAGTTGGACAGGGTACGATCAAGGTCACTGGGAGTCAGGGCAACGTGTACGTGACACCAGGAGGCTTCTGTTTGTGCAAACAAGGCAGAGTCGTGCAAATCCAATTCCACATCTAATGAAATTGTTTAATTTCGTGACTCCGCAGCTTCTTAAGAGACTCGTTCTCAAAACATTATTTAAAAAACATGACAAAAGCAGCCAAAAATTGTTTCGAAAAAATCATGTATCAGTTAGAAAGAAATGTCTGAAAAAAATTATATATAATATATACATATATTTATGTATATATACTAATCTCATCAAAATCTCATTTTGGCCAAAACATTTGTCCACCCCTGGTCCAGAGTGTCCAAACAACCTAATCCCCGAGTAAACAGGTTTTTGGCAGGGTTTCTGACAACATTTGAGGTACGTGGCTTCAAAGTTTATCAGCAGGTCATGAGGAGGCGGGGGAAGTTCCTCACTGACGGTATGGAAGTTTCAGTAAAGAGTGGAGGAGGCTCAGTGTCTGTAGCTTCTGTCTTATCTAGTAGGACCAGTAACTTTCCCATGGTGCCATCATAGATAGTTGATGGATGGATGAATGGATGGATGGATGGATGAACGGACGGACAGATGGATGGAAGCCTGGATAGATAGATAGATAGATAGATAGATTGATAGATAGATAGATAGATAGATAGATATATATTGCTGTGTTAAATAAAAGTTATTTCCTTGAACAGCCTGACCTTTTTTTTCTCTGAATGACCACGTGCTAATATAACCACTTTCGGTTTCGTTTCTGTGTTATTTTTGCACTGGGGGATGTGAGGGGTTTCCGATGACCTTGTGTTTACTGCAGCTGTCAGTAACATGACTGTATCAGGGGGTAAACCCAAGTAGATTTTCACAGCAGAAAAAAAACCCTTTTTCTTCAGAACTTTAACAGTTAGCTCAGTTGGTTAGAGTGTGGTGCTAGTAACGCCAAGGTCGTGGGTTCGAGCCCCGTACGGGCCATTCATTATTGATCGTGTTGCGTAATCCTCTTGTAGCTGCAGCTAACCGTTTTTCTTAAGTTTTGAAAACAAAATTGTCTTTTCGAGGCAGGCCGGTTAGCTCAGTTGGTTAGAGCGTGGTGCTAATAACGCCAAGGTCGCGGGTTCGATCCCCGTACGGGCCATTTGCTTTTGATCATGTTGCGTAATCCTCTTGTACCTGCAGCTAACCATTTTCCTAAGTTTTGAAAACAAAATTGTCTTTTCAAGGCAGGCCGGTTAGCTCAGTTGGTTAGAGCGTGGTGCTAATAACGCCAAGGTCGCGGGTTCGATCCCCGTACGGGCCATTTGCTTTTGATCATGTTGCGTAATCCTCTTGTACCTGCAGCTAACCATTTTCCTAAGTTTTGAAAACAAAATTGTCTTTTCAAGGCAGGCCGGTTAGCTCAGTTGGTTAGAGCGTGGTGCTAATAACGCCAAGGTCGCGGGTTCGATCCCCGTACGGGCCATTTGCTTTTGATCGTGTTGCGTAATCCTCTTCTAGCTGCAGCTAACCGTTTTTCTTAAATTTTGAAAACAAAAGTGCCATTTAGACACAGGCCGGTTAGCTCAGTTGGTTAGAGCGTGGTGCTAATAACGCCAAGGTCGCGGGTTCGATCCCCGTACGGGCCATTTACTTTTGATCGTATTGCGTAATCCTCTTGTAGCTGCAGCTAACAGTTTTTCTTAAGTTTTGAAAACAAAAGTACCATTTAGACACAGGCCGGTTAGCTCAGTTGGTTAGAGCGTGGTGCTAATAACGCCAAGGTCGCGGGTTCGATCCCCGTACGGGCCATTTACTTTTGATCGTATTGCGTAATCCTCTTGTAGCTGCAGCTAACAGTTTTTCTTAAGTTTTGAAAACAAAAGTACCATTTAGACACAGGCCGGTTAGCTCAGTTGGTTAGAGCGTGGTGCTAATAACGCCAAGGTCGCGGGTTTGATCCCCGTACGGGCCATTTACTTTTGATCGTATTGCGTAATCCTCTTGTAGCTGCAGCTAACTGTTTTTCTTAAGTTTTGAAAACAAAAGTGCCATTTTTACGCAGGCTGGTTAGCTCAGTTGGTTAGAGCGTGGTGCTAATAACGCCAAAGTCGCGGGTTCGATCCCTGTACGGGCCATTCATTATTGATCGTGTTGCGTAGTCTTCTTGTACCTGCAGCTAATCTTTTTCTTAAGTTTTGAAAACAAAAGTGCCATTTTTACGCAGGCTGGTTAGCTCAGTTGGTTAGAGCATGATGCTAATAACGCCAAGGTCGTGGGGTCGATCCCCGTACGGGCCACTTGCTTTTGATCGTGTCGCGTGTCTTTTTTATTAGACTTTTTTCATTTCTCTGTATTTAATACTAGATCGATTGAGTCAGACTGTTGTCAGACATTTAAAATTCCAAGTATTTTTCAAGCACTTTACTTACTTTGCTGTAGCCACTTAATTCATGCTAACATCACTAACATCTGTACCGCTCTGTATTCACAGGGTTCTCTTAAAGAACATTGACATTGATTTGTTTTTTTACCTTGATATCTACTCTTAGTTTTTTTAATCCATTTTACTCCAATATTTACATTGTCTGTTAACAATTTTATTCATGCTAAATGTTAACATTTACCCTGAGGTTTGTTTTGTTTCCTGTTGACATATTCAATACATTTTTACTTTTTTGCAATGGTAAACATCTTGTGTAAAAGTAAAAAAAATTGCTGCAGAAAAATAACTCTGAAAAAAAATCTAAATTCCTGCGTGTTGAACCTTCTTCATTCTATTTTAACTTTACTGTTTCATTTTAAGTTTGGGTTAAGTTTGATGTGTACGATCAAAAAAAAACTCAGATATTTTTAAGTTTGATGTGTACGATCAAAAAAATCTCAGATATTTGGCAAAGATATGACGACTAAAGCTGTCAAATTTAAAATAAAATAAAAAACCATCAAATCCTTTTTGCACCAATAACTAATGTTCTAATGAATGGATGAATGTTTTTTTCTTGTCATTGGTTTGTGTGCTGAACCAACATCTGTATTTTTCTCGTCAGGATTCTTTTCTCTACTCCGTTCGCAGTCATAACCTACATTCTCCTCTGGTTCGTGTTCCCGTTTGAAAATGGGAAGTTCATCTGGTGCCTGATTTTTTACTGCCTCTTTCAGACAATGCAGACGGTTGGTATTAGAGTCAGAGTCTTCCTCGTGTTCGTCGTTGCTCTTCTCCTCATCTGACTGTGCGTGCGTGTGTGTGTGTGTATTTTCAGTGCTTCCATGTGCCATATTCTGCCCTCACCATGTTCATCACCAGCGACCAGAAAGAGAGGGATTCGGCCACTGCCTACCGTATGTCGACACCCCGCTGTTTATTCACAGCTGTAACACGTGGCTGACTCCACTGAGCTCATGTCTTTGTCATTTTAGACATTTTAGTCTTTTACACATTACAGGAAGTTATATATGACGAATGACGATGTGTATTACTGCATTAGTCAAATAAAAAAAAAGGAGTCAACTGGTAAAAAAAAACTAACATTTTTTTATACGAGCCAATCAGAACTGTATGTGATGGCTAGGAGGCGGGACATAAAAATGGAGCTCCAATCACAGCAAATGTGTGTCAAGTAGTAGAACATACAGAATATAGAAGACGTGTGGGACGACAATTTGAGTAAAATATATAGTAAATATATGACACAATATATTTGTCAACTAAATATATTTCAAATCCACTATGCTTCATCAATTTAAACCAAACATTAAACCAGTTTCGGACAAAGATAGCGTTACAGTTTACTGTGAAGACTCGACAGGAAATGAAAACTCACCGGTGGCTGAAACCTCTCTGTGGTCCTCGCAGGTATGATGGTGGAGGTTCTCGGCTCACTTCTGGGCACCGCAGTCCAGGGACAGATTGTTGGCGGTTCCACCCCGTGCAACGGGGAGGACAATGTGACGGCGAGCAGTAACGTGTCCGTGGTTACTTTGGAAGACACGGTGAGAGTTCCTCGTGAGACCTCGTGCACATTGTCTAAAAAACGGGGGATTTGAAATCATTTTTGAATCATTTGGCTGAAGCATCTACATGAAACTTTGTCAAATTAAATGGGTTTTTTTTTCTTTCATCTTCAGAGACAAGCCTACCTGATTGCTTCCGGTGTCATCTCCATCATTTACGTCCTCAGTGCAGCAGTCTTGTTTTTAGGCGTGAAGGAGAAAAAAGGTAAAAAGACTTTGTTAAAGTTTTTCACACTGCAACAACACAAAGTAAATATTTATTATTTAGTGTGTAGTTAAAGAATGTCTGGAAAATCTGACAGACCCACGGGTGGTCTTCAACTTACGTCGGAATTCCATTCTACGGTGCAACTTAACTTAACTCTATATAAGTACCTGTGTCACTCACCTATGCTAACACGGTGCTAGCATCATAATCAAGGACACAGAAACATCAGAAGAGTCTGACTCACACCTGGCAGCCACAGCGAAGGGCAAAAATGCCCCCACTCCCCAAAAAAAACCAACACCAAAAAAAGTCAATGTACCAAAAAAACACAGCCGTCTTCGCCTATTGCACCGCAGGCGACTTATTCATCCGCTCCATTCACCAACTATTTCCCTTGCGAAATTTGTGTCAACGCCGTACGTTGGAATGAAGGAACAAGACTTTTTGAACAAATTTATGAGAGATGGCAACGTAACCATGAAACGCTGTAAGTTGAGAACGCCGTAAACTGAGGACGCCCTGTATGTTGGCTCCACCCACACGGCCCTGTTGTTGTCATAAACACACGATGACCTCCCCAGGCTTCAGGACTCTCCTTTAGGACTTATTAATTATTGGACATTTTTTGACAAATTGCACTTTACTTTCTCAATTTCTTATTAGAAGGAAATCAGAATCAACAAAACTCAGTTCTGGAGAGTCACACTTACCAAAATGCTGCTCTGGTTTTTACTGATTCTTTGAGAAAATAATCCCAGTTTACAGCTTTTCATTGTCCATTTGTGCTTCATTCAAGGGATAAGACACAAAACGTCCAAACCCCTCACCCTCAGACAGGGCCTGTGGCTCGTACTGAGCCACGGACCGTACATCCGTCTGGTCATCGGTGTCCTCTTCACCTCTCTAGCCTTTATGGTAAGAAAGTGGGCTTTTTTTTTCCATTTTTGTGGGCTAGCTGAGATGAGGCTGTTTTTGTTGTCATTTCATCAGATTTACTTGATTAAAAAAATGATTCCTTCTCTTTAGCTTCTGGAAGGAAACTTTGCTATTTTCATCACCTACACGCTCAAACACAGGAACGACTACCAGAATCTTCTCCTGGTTGTTATGGTGAGTGTCTCCATTTGTCCTGTATAAATGCATTAATAGGTTTGAATTGTACATGACATTAGCACAAAGTTTAGTACATGAGCAAAAAAAAAAAAAACAGCCGGTCCGATTGTGTGGGACACACTAGTTGCCCATTGGGCTGCGAAACCTGGGCTAGTGTCCCAGCATATGGTTCACAGTTTGTATCCAACCTCAAACCCAAAGGTTGGTTTGGGCTCAGCTGTTTGCCTACATGTGATGTGTTCAAAGACATCAGCGGTAGATGTACGATGACAGTTCTGATTCAACGGCCCCAGATTTTTATTTAATTTAATTAATTTTTTTCAGCTGTCTGCAACTATTAGCGTCCCCTGGTGGCAATGGTTTCTGACTCGGTTTGGGAAGAAGACGGCGATTAACTGTAGCATGATTGTGAGTACGAAATGTTGGATTGTTGAAATGTATGTATTTATGTTTATTTTTTATTTATTATTATTTATTTATTTTGTTGTTTCTTTTCCTACAGTGGGGAATACCGTTCATGATCATAATTGTGTCCGTCAAGAGCAACCTCATTGTTTCCTATTTGGTCTCAGCGGCGGCGGGCGCGAGTGTGGGAGCAGCTTTCTTTCTGCCTTGGTAAGACGGCCATATTAGATTTCTAGGTTTTTGCAATTAGAAAAGTAATTCCAGGAAGTCAGATAATAAACTAACTGCTGGTTACTGGTCCCTCCTCAGGTCGATGCTTCCCGATGCAGTGGACGACTTCAAGGTGAGAAACCCGGACATCCGCGGCCACGAAGCTCTCTTCTACTCTTTCTACGTGTTCTTCATCAAGTTTGCGTCCGGGATCTCACTGGGCATCTCCACCCTGAGTCTGAAGTAAGTCCGTTTCTGCTCCGCTCCCTGGTCCGTGTTGCTGCTCCTCACTTTAACTCCCGCCTTGATCCTGCAGGTTTGCTGGATACGTAACAGGAAAGTGCAACCAGCCAGAGGTGCTGAACACCACCCTGAGAGTACTGGTCTGTCTGGTACCACTGTGCTTCATCATAATAGGACTGTTGATATTAAGGACTTACCCCATCGATGAGAAGAGGAGGGAGAGCAACCAGAAGCAACTGCAGAAATGTCTGTAAGTGAGAAGTGGGAAACACACACACGCACACACAGTCAGGTTTACATAAGTTGTGAGGACATCACATTGACATCATGACCTTAAAAATTACCCCACAAGAAACAATATTAGGGATATTAGAATAATGAGGTAATAACTGTAAGAATCATTACTGGCGTATCCTCTGATAATGAAAACCCGAAAACGCAATGTCTTGGTTTGGCCACATGATGTGTGCCCTAAAAATAGTTTTGGGGGAAAACAGCTGTATATAAAAGTAATAGTCACTAGATGGCAGCGTTGCAGCTTATTTTATTAATGTCTTTTAATGATCAGGGGATTGTATACAAAATGCTGGTTGTTATTATATTGTTAACGGTTACTACCGGCCTACCAAACCATCCAATTTGGCCCATGACTGGATACATCAAACAGTAACGTTAGATAAAAATGGGATTTTTATGTAATTTACTTTGAGTGTGTCTTAACTAAGGGCTAGCAGCATAATGTTAGCGGTGATAATTTAGGGCAGTGTAACTAGAGTTGATTGGGGCAAATCTCATTGACATTTACATCTGATTTTGACTTTGTTCTAAATGTGGCGTCTACTCTTTCTTTAACAGAGAGTCTGAAGAAAACTCAGAGTCTGAAACCACAGCACTTGGAAACACAGCGTAGCAGTGGGTGGAGGAGCAGCCACCACCACCACCACCTCTGGTTTTCATGTTTGCACAGGTCGTAGAAGGACTAACACCTTTTACTGACAGAAGTGTCTTCTGCCCGTCACCTGCTGCCATCACTGGGAAGGCCTTCCATTGAACTACGCAATCTTGTGCTGCCATCTGGCGGCCGTGCTTCTCATAATAAAGTATAATTCGAGTATTTTCCATTAGGTTCAAATGAGAGGTGCTTTATTAAAATGTGTTGTTTTTTTTAAAAAAAACTTGTACAACATCTTAATCGTTAAGGTGTTGAGAAGTAACCGTCGGATCGACCAGTTGTTTAACAAACTCTGTGAAGTTTACATTCTTACAACATCTGTCGTCACTTTTTCAACCAGGTGACGGCCCTTTTCTTATTCATGGGTGGTGTTTTCACAACTGACTCGGTCCCTTTGTGAGTTACAGTAGCTATAAATAAGCGTGTGGCTCATAATTAGTGCCACCATTTTTGTTCCTGACAGAAAATGTTTCCAATGCTGTACCACAGGAGACATTTCAGCTTTTTACAGTGAGGCTCAGTTTCATCAGATTTCAACAGCATGGTCATTCAGTTGGTGTATAGTTGCCTTCTGAAACAGCAGAACCAATCATTGCCCCCCACCCCCCATATTTTTTTTTCAAGATTAGCATTTAAGACTCTGTGATCTGTGGTATCTATGTTTGTTTCCCATTTACAGATCAGTTACATTCAACAGTTCCACTAACTTCATCTTCGGGAGCTCTGTTACTATTCCTCTTCGGTTATACATTGAAGTTGCAACATGGAGAACCAACCTGTGGCATCATGTACTCTATGAACTTACTTGAATCACTCGCTTTCGTTTGTCTACGTTGTTTATGTTTAAAAGGGTTTAAATCACTTATTTTTCCACCGATAATGAAAACCCCATAACGCAATGCCTGGGTTCTGTTAAATGATGTGTGCTCTAAAAATAGTGCAATGCCCTGGCGGCGGAGCAGTCAGATTTAAGGGAGTATAACTACTGTTATGGAAGCACTTGTGTTTAATTTGTTGGTAGTAACTGGGTTAGTGAAACCTGTTTTTTTTTTAGTTAAAAACAAAAAAACTACATGTTTCCACAATGTGAATAATGTGAGACCAGAACTGCAGCACAAGCTTAGATTGTTCCAGAGACAATCTGGTTCAAATTATCTTTATCTGCTGTTATACTAAAAGTTACAAAGATTCTGTTCCACCAAAGATCTAGGTCTTTGAATTTGCACTAAATGAAAATCAAAAAAAAAATTAAATGTAATTTTTGTGTTTATTTTATTTATTTTTGTTATTATTTTTGGTGAACTTTTTTTTTTCTAAGTGTGACCTCAATGAGCCAATAAGTACAGTACGATGTAAGTCAGAAAAAGAAATATTGTGCTGTATTCATTAATAAAGTTTGCGTAAATATTTCTGGAGTGCTTCCTTTCCTTAAATCCATCTCCGATGTTTTATAAATGTGTATATAAAAACAGTCTAGAGTAAGTAACATTAAACTACCAACACAACTCTAAACCACAGGTTAATTTTAAAAAAAAAGGTAAACTCAGTTACAGGGTTTAGAGTACATAGAAGAGTATTATAGATAGATAGAACACTATTCAACTTCCGGGAGTTTCCTTCAGAAAAATTAATATTTACTATGCCCCAGAAATGGTAAAGTTAGCCAAAAAAATATCGCACATAGATAAACGATAAGACGTATTATTTTTATATTGTGTGCAAAACAAGAAAACGAACAATTAAAACCAGGAAAACCTCAGTCAACGTAGCTCCACTTTCTCCCTGATGGTGGTGCTATGAGTGCAAAGCCGTTATAACGAATGCAGTAGTCTGATAGTACGATATTTAATCTTTTTATCTCATATCGATCTAAAACCTATTCAACAGAATATGGTAAAGTGCTCGACTAACCTGGGTGGTACACTAATATCTTAAATATAATTAAGATGTGAAATAACGTTGTTTACAATTGATTTGCGGTAAAGTTGTTGTTTTTTATTTTAAAAACATTCTTTAAATACAGCACAACATACAATATAGCACAGATTACATTTTTCTTGTTTTTTAGAAAGGTATTTCTTGTTTTTTATACTCTTACATATAAAAGAAGCTGAAGAACAGCAACAAGTTGCACAGGAAATAAGAAACAAACGAATCGATGAGGTCGAACTAAATTGGTTTTCGCTTAATATTTACCAAAACAGTTGTTGAAAATTAATAATTACCTGGTGCCGTATGTCCGGTAAATATTTCGAAATAAAAATAGTGTAATATCTTTAAAAAGAACAAGTAATCACAGAAAACAGTTTCACTCGTTGCTGCGCCTCAAAGAGCGATTTAAACGCGCTCTAGGGCCACAGCACCGCGCTGCGGTTTGGAGTGATAGTGCAGGTAACTTTCAAGATATGTTTGATGAAGACAGTAATTAAGGTTAAAATCCACTTAACAATGACGCATCATGTTGATAAAACACGTTTTCAACTGACCAAAAAAACATTTGGTAAACTATTTTCGGCACCTGTTGAATGAGCAGAGTGAACCCAAGGCTCCGGAGCTGTTATCGGACTTAAATTACCTGCAGCTGAGCTCGGGCTGTGGCGCGGATTGACAGAGGACGTGAGAGGAACGGCAGTGACTTACAATGAAAACACAGCGACGTGTGTGTGTTTTGTGGAGTCTTTTTACAATCGTTCTCCTCTGTTTTAAAGCAGACACATACGAAACTCCTATAACCAGACACAGGAGGCCTTCTCTGAAAGTGGGTCCACCAAAGCCCAAACTCTTGAAACTGTCAACAGTCATCTACTCACCAACAGTAGAAGAAGAATCAGGTTCTCCAGCGGTGTCTCCATTCAGGACGCGGAACTTCTCTCCTTCCTCATCCACGCGGCCCGTAGACATTCAATCGGACTCCGTTGCTGCCCAGTCGGACGTCTCTGTGACCTGCTCCACGGCCCACTTTGTGCTGCGGGTCAAACCAGGTTTTTACGGCCTGGACGCTGATGTAGAGGAGCTGACCTTAGGTGGCGGCTGTAGAAGCAACGGTGTTCTGAGACCTTACGGCGACATCCTGTTCAACTACCCCCTGACAGCGTGTGACGCCATACGGGAAGTAAGGTGTCTTTACATGTTGTATTTACAGTATATTGTTTGTGACAAGGTGAAGGTTTCCTTCCTTCTAATTGTCCGGAAAAACTTCGAAACACAGTCTTAGTACGGTCTCTAAGAACAGTGACATCTGGTGGCCAACTGAAGTCATAGTATCATCTATAAAATAACCCAGAAGAAGACACTTCAGAAATGACTGTGTGGACGATTTTTTTTAATGATTATTTTTAGAAATTCGTCATCATTGTAATCATTTTTTGAAGACGCCTAAACAGTTTAAGTAAAACTAAGTTATTAGTTCGTTGGTTGGTTAGTTGAACTAATATGAAAACAGGCTAAGCCACACAAACTATATACTACTAAAAATATAAAATACACACAAAAAATATTCCAGAATAAACCAAAGGATAAATTCAAAAGACCGACTAGGTCCAATGTTTACATTATTTCCCGTTACCCATCTTCCCGCGGCACAGAAATGTGACGTCTGTCTCACTTTAATGACGTAAAAGTCCGCTATAAAGCTATATTAGGGCTTTTTGCCAGTTTAAAGTTTCCACGTCTTAGTGTTTTGATTCAAAATCAGGTTTTATTTGTGGACATCAGACTTTAAAAAGAAACAAAATAAAAGTTTTAATTTTGTTGTGTTGAAGGATTTCAGTTTCATCGCTGAAATGAATATGTTACCAGAGCTTGTTTCTTGTTGTTGTTTCTTGTGTTGTTCTTGTTTTTTTTCACTGAGCTCCTGCATTAACAACTGTGACCCTCTGTAACAGGCGCCCCCTGGCTACCTGGTTTACAAATACACACTCCATTTTAGGCCTTCACCGAAACGCTTCCCGACCCGATCACAACACTTAGATGTCAACATCGAGTGCCGTTACCAAAGGTTGGACATCCGGTCGAACTTACTGAGACGTTTTATGTGTGTAAGCGACGACACTAACTTCCTCCGTCACTTGTCCAGGACACACCATGTGCATCAGCTGGTTTTGAAACCCACCTGGAAAACTGCCGTCATGCGCAAAAAGCTGAAAGGACGACCGAGTGACTTTAGGATTGGACTGATGGACGGTAAGAGGACAGAGGCTGGTGGTTGGTTTGTGTCCTTCGAGTCTTCTAGTTTTTTCTATTTATATTTTTATAACATACCTATAACTAAAAGATAAAATGGTCTTAGGTAAAAAGTGAAGATCAGATAAATGACATGTAAACGTCATGCATAAAGGCTAAAATGCTAACATTCTTTTAGCCTTTTTTTCACCATCTGTTGGAGAAATGCAGGAAAAGACAGAAATATAATGATAATATAAATTAATAAAATAATTTGGACAAATTTGACGGGCCAGATTACATAGGCAAGCGGGCCACATCTGGCCCCTGGGCCTTAGTTTGCCCATGCCTGGTTTAATATCTCTCCAAACTGTATCGGGGAGTTCCCCTCCCCACCTGGGCCTTAGTTTGCCCATGCCTTAGTTTGCCATGCCCGGCCGTGTTTCTTCAGTTAAACCATGAAGTTTATTGTTGTTGAAATTTTGCCCTTTTAAAAAAAAATTCCAGTTATTTCTGGTCAAACTTTTAGCAAATATTTTTTTAATTTGTGTCACTTTTATGTATTTTTGGCGCTATTCTTGGGTATATATTATATATATTCTTATATATTCTTGATTATATATTTCTTATTTTTAAATGATTAAAAATCTTTTTTTGTTTTTTTTAATTTTAAATTAATTATTTTTTAACTTAGTACCCACTAGTAGCCATTTCTTGTTGTGTTTATTTTTTTTCTAACATCTGGTAATTGTTGTTTTTTTGGTTCAAACTGAAAGATATTTATTCTTTCTTCTTTTTCTTTCGGCTTTGTCCCTTTTTTTCAGGGGTTGCCACAGCAGATCAGTGATTTCCATCTCTCCCTGTTCTCTGCATCTCCTACTCTGACTCCAACTACCTGCATGTCCTCCCTCACTACATCCATATATCTCCTCTTTGGCCTTCCTCTCTTCCCCCTACCGGGTAGCTCCATCTCTAACATTCTTCTACCAATGTATCCACTGTCCCTCCTCTGCACATGTCCAAACCATCTCAACCTGGCTTCTCTAGCTTTTTCTCCAAACCTTCCTGTCTGTGTTGTCCCTCTAATGACCTCATTCCTGATCCTGTCCATTCTTGTCACTCCTAAAGAGAATCTTAGCATCTTTAACTCTGCCACCACCAGCTCCACCTCCAGCTCCACCTCCTGTCTTCTGCCTATTACTACTGTCTCTAAACCATACATCATGGCTGGGCTCACCACCGTCCTGTAAACTTTTCCCTTCACCTTAGCTGACACTCTTCTGTCACAGATCACTCCTGAATATTTATTCTTTCAAATTATTTAAAAATAAATAAACTTTTTGTTTTTCATTCTCAGACTCCTGGAGCTCCACAGTCAAGTCCTCAGTTTACCAACTGGGACAGAATATAAATTTCCAGGCCTCGGCTTCACATCTCCCTCCTGGAGGAAAACTGTACGTCAGCAGCTGTTACGCGTCACCGTCCAACAGCTCTGAGAACTCTCTTAAATACACCATCATCGACAACTTTGGGTGTGTGAGTTATTTTCTCATTTTTATTTAGGTGTCACTCGTCTGGTCACATGCAAATATCTGTGTCACGATACCGTCCTTCTGTAGATGTTTGGTGGACAGCAAGCGAGACCCGGCGGCCTCTCGGTTCATCTATCGGACGAACGGAACCATCGGATTCTCCCTGAAGGCTTTTCAGTTCACGTCTGACCCCGAGACTGAGGTGAGGAGGACGGGATTTCTGATTCTTCGGTCACGTGAAGCGGCGATGGCGGGTTAACGTTGTCGTCATTTTAGATCAGCGTACACTGTCACCTGTCCGTCACCTCGGAGGGTCCAAGTCCTGCCCACAAATCCTGCACCTATAAAGGAAACAGGTCGGTTCTGATGTCGTAAACTTTTATGCTATTAAAAAAAAAAATCTTTGGGAGAAAATGTCGAAGAGTTTTGGTACAAGGCTTTTGTTTTTAAATATTTCTGGAGTAAATTTAAAAATAAAAAAATAAACTAAAATAACTTATAAAACGTAAACGTAGCGACTTAGTAACTTTTCAACTTAACATAGTAAAACTCCATAATATATAATATTTTTGACGTTGGTATTTTTTGTTTTTATATCCAAAGTAAACTATTGTTTCCTTAAAATTATATTAATATGTAAATATTTCAAAATAATTTTACTGAATTTTTTTTTAAATTTTCCTGCTGTGCTGTAACAGGTGGACGGCCCTCTCCGGTGACCACTCCCTGTGTGACTGCTGCGACTCCAAATGTGTGACCTCTAAGACCCGTAGGTCCATGATGGAAGGTCTGTCAACATTTTGGTTCCTTCACAGGAGACAGTCGTATCTGTTTTAAAATTTTAAATAATCCAGCAGCTGTGTCTGTTGCTTTCGTCCAAGGTTTTGCCAGCAGCCAGCTTCTCTCCATCTCAGATCAGACGGACGAAGACGGTTTCCTCCCTGTAGCTTCCTCCACGGTCTTCATAAGCACAGAAGACCAGAGGACCGGGACTGGAAACATGGATCAACGGGATGTTCGAGAGTATCTGTGGAGAAGTGTCGATGTTCTGAGATACGATGATAAAGATGATGAGAGATTTGCAGAGGATGAGGAGGATGAAGAGGAGCTCGAGGAAGACGGAGGGCAGGAAAGCAGAGTTAACGTGGGAACCACAGCAGCGCCCGACACGAGGACGTCATTTTTCAGGAACGTTGTTTCAGTGGAGAACGGGAACGCATTTGAAGAAGACGGTTCGGGCGTCGAGGGAGTCACGTTAGGTGAGGAAATACATGTAAGATCTAAACACAACCAGGCGAAGGTTGAGGGGCCAATTCCAGAGAATGTGAAGCCACCAGAGTCTAAGGAGCCGGAGGAGGCTGGGAATGTAGCTGAAGACCAGAACAGGACCAGAACCTTCAGGTTAGGGTTAAAGACGGACGAAGGCCTGGATGATGTAGCCGATGGTGAGAAGTCGACCTGGTATTTCACATGGAGGTAGATCACCGAAAGACTGTGAATAAATGTTGATCAATAAAAACATAAAAATGCATCTGAAGTAAAGTTTCCTCAGAATTCTTTTGGTTTCAGTTGAAAACCTGAACAGAAAAAAAAAAAAACAAGTCTGGTATTTATGCGGCTGCTTTTATTTGTCCATAAATCTTTTTTCTTTTCAAAATAAATGATCATTTGTTAGAATAGAAGGTCTGAAACACAGAAACACCCCACAGTTTGAGCTGGAATGACTGTAAGTCGTCAGTAACTAAAAGCAGCAGAACTCGTGCTCCGACCCAACGGTTCCAGTGTTCACTATCATTTCTGCTCTTTACTTTTATCATATTAGCAAATACAAACATAAAACAGCGTTGAATCATAAAATAGATGTGGGATTTTTTTTTCTCTCTAATTTGTAAATGATTAACACACAAACACACTTAAGTGACATGGTCTTAAAGGGTCTCACAGACGTGGACTAAACACGAGAGGAAAAATAACTTAAGATAATTAATATTTTTTTTTCTCTTTAACAAATATAATTGGTGTATTAAAGTCTTTGGAGAAAATAAAGATCCATTACCAGTGGATATAATACACGTAGAGAGTGTTGCTATATTTACAGATGAGTCCCAACGTCCCGTTGCAGCGACGACTGACTACAAGCTCTGATTCAGCAGCACATGAAGTGGTACAATCATTGTTTGGCACTAGAGGGCAGTATATATTTGTATCTGTTGCCACAGTGAAACTCAGAATGCCCTCTGGGAAAAAGCTAAGAAACTATTTTGTGTTCGGAAAACGCAGATTGTGTACCGTAAGACCCACACCGTTAACAACATGTTCAGATCATTTTGTAGAAAATCCAGCATCTTTGAAATAAACAAGTCATCTCTGAAAAAAACAAACACAAAAAAAAACGTTTGTCTCACACACACAAAGATCAACTTGCAGTGGATTTGACGTAGTCTCAGTCCCAGTCTTTAAAATCACGTCGACGCAGTTCCTTTTCCTTCAGCAGATTCTGCCGTCTTCTCTGTATCGTCTGAGGTTGGAGAACAAAAGCGTTTTAACTTCAGGAGCTAAGACATTAGCCAGCGTTGGCTAACAACTAAACTCCACATAGGAACTTTTAAAACTACTTAAATAAAAGCTGATGATCACAGGGCTATAGAAGAGATAGCCACATGTTTCAGCTAATAATGAAACTGATTCGTTTTCCAGTGGACTAAGACTTAGCTTTTACCGTTTAGCAAATGTTAGCATGCGATCAGGTTAACCAAAGTTGCACTGTTTACCTTACACCTGCTGAGTCATTTTGTTTTAAAAATATACAATTGTTTGTGTTTCGATTGCAACTGCCAACAAGGGATTTGGTACGATTTTTGCTTACTTAATTTATTTAAATAACACACGCAAAAGTAACCGTAATATCAGAGTACAGTGACAAGTAGCTAATTAGCTATATATACATTATCAGAGTACAGTGACAAGTAGCTAATCAGCTATATATACATATATATACACGCACACATATGTGTCTGTAGGGGGAGGTTCCTTAAAAAAGGTGATCGAAAATCTTACCCAGAAAGACGTCTTGCTGTTCTTCCTGTCCAACAGTGGAGTCAGTCCCTTCGCTGGTCCCATTTTCTTTGGCTTTGGCTTTGGGTTTCCTCGCTACAGGTGGCGGCATCTTCGCTCCCCTTTTCACCGATGCTTCCTCACTCCCCACCTTAGTTGAGGACACAATACCCAGGTTCTTCGGCACACTTGTCTTGACCTCTGACACTGGCTTGGTCTCACTCGACAGCCTTTTGTTGCTCTTGGAGAAGATGAAACTGGCTGTGCTTGCTGGAGATCTGGGGGACGTCCGCAGGTCCGGGGATGTCGGTGAGTGCAGTTTAAGGCAAGAGGCGGGGTTTTCTTTTGATCTGGCCGCTGTCCTCAGACGGATTGCCTCCTGTAGGTTCATGGACGAAGGGGCGGTGGTGACAGGAGGAGATTTTTGTGTGGGAGAGGGGATCGTAGCTGAAGATGTCACTGGAGCCAAAGGTGAATATGGTTTGGGTAGAGCTAGGTGCACAGGTCCTAACGCAGGCGGTGAAGTAGACGTGGGAGAGGTCATGATTAAAGACTTTCTGATGGGCTTTTGTGGAGCCTCGCCACTCGCAGATGAGGTTAGAACCAGAACGCTGGGCAGCTCTTTCCTCATGGTGACCCTAGGCTGCGGTTGTTCTTCAGAACAGGCCGGCTCAGGAATGTTGTTGACAGGAGGGGAGGAAATTACAACAGGGTCGGATCCCTCCTGTGAAACATGGACGGGTTCTGGCTCTTGGTTTTGAAGTTCTACACTAACATTTTTAGACTCGTCCTTTCCACTGTCTAAATTCTGTGGTAGGGAAGGACTTGGACTTGGACGTCCAACAAGTTCTTCTGACTTTTCAGGTGACGGGTTGGATTCAGTAGCTTGTGTGATTGAGATTTCAGTGAGTTGTCTGTCAGTGCTGGTAGGAATATCCTCAGGTTGATGCAGAACCTCTGAATGAGATAAAGGTGGTATACCCTGTGGGGGGGTGAGGATACGATCAGCTGAAGAAGGATTGGTTGGACATTCAGGCTGGATGTTCTGTTGTGAAATATCTTTATTTTGCTCTGACAACTGGAGCTGTGTTGACAGGGGAGGTGGAGGTGGAATACTTTCTGGCGGTTTAAACCTATTAACAAATATTTCTACGGCGGGCGTTGTGATGTTCTCTTCAGCAGAACAAAGAGAATCCTCTTCAGGAATCTCTTCAGAAGGCAAAACTGATACTTCAGTAACCAACGGACAAGAGGCCTCTTGATCCGGAGGAGGAACTGTCACGTTGGGTGATATGGGGCGATCTTCTATGGGTGGTTGAACAGAGATGTTCTCAGGTGGCAGGACGGGGACCTCCTTAAGCGAAGGAGGCGAAATAGGCTGTGGATGAAGAACGGGTTCCATAGGTTGTGCAGGAGAGGCTTCTTTGACTGGTGATGAAGACGTCTCTTCAGATATTGGTGGAAGGTTCTCGTTAACTGATAACAGAGAGACTTCAGACTGTGAGGGTGGAGCGACGTTTTCGGTTGACGGTGGAGGGACTTCTTCAGGCACTGAGGGTGGAGTGATGCTTTCACTTGATAAAGGAGGGATTTCTTCAGGAGGAGGAACCTTTTTAAGTACCACCACTTCCTCTTTCGAGGAGGGATTTCTTCAGGAGGAGGAACCACCACTTCCTCTTTCATTGGTGGTGGTGTAGTAAAGATCACCGTTGGTGGTGGAGGGAACTCTTTCGATGGTGGCAGTGGTGGTGGTGGTGGAGGTGAAATGACATTAGGTTGTAGACAAATTTCAATAGATGTTGTTGTTGGTGGTGGTGGAGTAGAGATCAGCACCTGCGTAGACGGTGTCAAGTGTGGTTGAGAGATGACCTTGGGTGGTGAGGGAGATAACCCTTTAGAGGACGATGAAGAAGTGACCTTAGGTGGTGATGGGGTGACGTCCGTTGATGGTGTTGGTGAGATCATCTTAGGTGGGGGTGAATAGAAGTATTCAGCTGGAGGCGGTGGTGGTAGTGGTGGAGAGATCACTAATGGTGGAGGAGGGATCTGTGTTGGCGGTGGACAGATCACCGTAGGTACAGGAGGGGAGGCGGCTTTAACAGGTGGTGGTGGAGGAGGAGCTGAGTAGGACGGTGGAGGTGGGATATTTAGAGCAGGAGCTGTAGTCTGAGATGGAGATGGACTGGACTTCTGTGGCTCTACTTTCATGATCACCAGAGATGGTGTTGTTACGATACTGGACCTCTCCGTTGGTCCTGAACCAGGTACCTCACCAAACGGTGGCGGAGGAGGAAGGGGAAAATCTACGTCATCACGGCCACCAACACCTGCTTGTTTCATAGGTGGAGGTGGTGGGGGCCAGGATGACTCGGGGGACACAGCAGCTTCTGTCGTCTTTTTAGCGTGGGTTTGCGGCACAGTGGAAGAGGAAACTCGTGTTGTTGAAACGGTGGCCAGGTTATTTTCATGGGAATTCATCTCTCTGGATTCCGTGGCCAACTTCCTGGCCTCTTCTTCTCGTTTTGCTGCTGCCAGCCTTTCTTCACGTTTCTCGACAGCCTTCGCTAACAATCCATTCAATAAATCACTTCCTCTTGCCTTCTGACTCACTTCCGTTACAGTAGTTTCCTTCAGATTTACGTTCTCAGTCAGTCTTTCATTCTTTACCTTTTGAATCTCCACGTTCACACCTTCTTGAACTTTCTCTCTTTCAACCCCATTGAGACCTACATTGATGGAATCCACGATTATGGCTAAATTCTTCTGTTTCCTCTCTGCCACTAAGCTCTTCACAGACCCGTCCGTTGATGCCGATGGCGACTGCCTCTGTTGTCTCCTGTCCTTTGGATTCTTCTTAATGATGACGTGAAGGTTGTCAGGCACGGGAGGTCCCAGGAGCAACTCAACTGAACGCTTGCTGTGACACCAGACCTCTGGAGGAGGCGGTGGGGGTGCATGGACTTTAGGGTGTGGAGGGATGTTGAACAGTTCTCTCAGTGTTCTTACAGCAGGACTTACACCCAGTGCATCAACAGCGTTAGATGTACCACCAACAGTGGTTTTTGAGCTCTGTGGAAGAGCCTGCCGTGGGACAGGAGTCGGAGCTGAACCAGCAGAAGACGACCCAGAAATTAACTTGTGAAACTTTGATAAGATGCTCTTCTTGTGCTTTCCAGAAGAGTTCTGAGAATGTTTCAAGAGCAGTGGGGATGTTGCATCTTGACTGGAGTAGCCACTGGACGGGGATATGGTTTTGCTTAGCTTATTTCCCTGAAGCTGTTCCTTCTTTTGTACAGAATCCCTCGCATTTTCTCCTTCCGTCTTTAAAGCTTGATCTGTCCTTAGTGCTTGCAATTTCATGGGACTGAATGATCCAGATCCTGTGGAATCATCTAGAGAGCTGGTGTCAGCATTGTAACCTGGGCTGTCAATAGGTTTGCAAGGCATGACAGTATTTCCCGATTTCATTTTTTCATTTTCCTCACCTAAGGGCGAAATTCTTTGGAGAGAGTATTCCCCTGGAATGACCCTAATCTCTGCCAGATCACGCGATCGTCTCTTCATTTTATTATGAAGGGAATATGAGCGGCTTGGCGGCGGTGGAGCCTTCTTGGATTTCATGACAGAGAGGCTACGTACCAGTTGACCCTCGTTTTTGACTACATCAACTTTCCTCCTTACAATACCGTTGGAGGTGCACTTAGAGGCCCTGCTGTTTGAGGAATAAACACTGACTCTGTCCTCCTTCTCAGAAACATCACCTTCCCGTGACCTCTTCTGTCTCGGGGTGCTGTGACCTGAAATAGTCGAGGAATCCGATACCAAGGTGTTTGAGGACTCAGAGTTGCTCCAACAAGAGCTATCGGATACACTTGGGTGGTTGTAGCGTGATGCAGAAGTTATGCTGGAATCTTGCGAGGCGGTGGTTCTGCATGAGGAGGCCCGAGAGGAAGCACGGGACGAGGCAGGGCTGGAGAGCAGCAGGCTGCTCTTGCTGACGGTGCGGAGGCTGCGACTTCGCCCGCGGTTTATTTCCACTACGTCAATGGAAGGTGGCAACACAGCGTTGGGAATGATTTTGGACATGTAAGCAGCCTGGGGAGACATGGACATGACAGGACTGGGTGGGGCCTGCTGAAGGCTGTTCCCGGT